AAGTATGGTGAATTTATTTAAAATTTCAAAAAAATCAATTTTTGATGCAATTTTATATCACAAAAAAGAAATCAAAAATATTTTTCAAAAATTTATTTTTAAACTTTGACCCACTGTGCCGGTGTGGACGACCAATACCACACAAAGAAGAATAAAACACAAGCAGCGTCAGCTGAGCGATCAAAGTATGTGAGTGAGCTACAACTATCACATTTAAACCAAACCAACGGCAACGATCCAACAGTGAGAGTTGGGAAGAGTAATAAGTTGTTGGTAGGTTTGTGGTTTTTAAACAGACGCTAACAAAAGGCGGTTGGAATATTAAACGAAAACAAACCAAGCGACCACGATCCAACAGAGAGTGTTGGGGAGATAAATAAAATGTTGGTATGTACGAAGCAGAATATTATTATTGTTGTTGTTGGGAGTGTGGAAAAAATATAAAATGAATATTAATCTCTCATCAGAAGATGTGTGTGGGGAATAATTGCAATTAGCAAACACATATAATATCACGCTACGTCGGCAATGTGGTTAGCAAAACCAAATGTTTTTTTTTTCGAATTAAACAATTTTAATTGAACAAGAATAATTGATTATTTCGCTAAGAAAAAATGCAACTATATATTTTATACATTATTAGCTGACCCGGCAAACGTTGTTTTGCCTTATCGAAATTGCATCAATATAGGTTTGGTAAATATTAAGGAAATTATCGAAAACATATTTGAGTATATGTGGTATTTCTGTATATTAATCGGTTAAACTTATTCCACCAAACATTTTTGATACATCCCAATATTTTGACTTTTTTATTTTGTCCATTATTGAAGTATTCTTAATTAGAATGAAATGTTGTTCATGTCTAACTGTCCTTTTGACTTTTATATTGAAATGTATATAATCGCAATATTTTAGATTGGGTATAATAACTAATAGCAAATATAAGAAAAATATAATAAAAATAATCAAATATTCAAAAATATTTTTTAGGTATCGGGTGTATGGGCACTTCCAACAAATTATAATATAAATATACAATTTTCAAAAATAATTTACTAATAGCAAATATAAGAAAAATATAATAAAAATAATCAAATATTCAAAATTTTAGAATTTTTCAACGTATGTGAGTGAGCTACAACTATCACACTTAAACCAAACCAACGGCAACGATCCAACAGTGAGAGTTGGGAAGAGTAATAAGTTGTTGGTAGGTTTGTGGATTTTAAACAGACGCTAACAAAAGGCGGTTGGAATATTAAACGAAAACAAACCAAGCGACCACGATCCAACAGAGAGTGTTGGGGAGATAAATAAAATGTTGGTATGTACGAAGCAGAATATTATTATTGTTGTTGTTGGGAGTGTGAAAAAAATATAAAATGAATATTAATCTCTCATCAGAAGATGTGTGTGGGGAATAATTGCAATTGCAATGCAATCGGCAATGTGGTTAGCAAAACCAAATGTTTTTTTCGAATTAAACAATTTTAATTGAACAAGAATAATTGATTATTTCGCTAAGAAAAAATGCAACTATATATTTTATAAATTACTAGCTGACCCGGCAAACGTTGTTTTGCCTTATCGAAATTGCATCAATATAGGTTTGGTAAATATTAAGGAAGTTATCGAAAACATATTTGAGTATGTTTGGTATTTCTGTGTATTAATCGGTTAAACTTATTCCACCAAACATTTTTGATACATCCCAATATTTTGACTTTTTTATTTTGTCCATTATTGAAGTATTCTTAATTAGATTGAAATGTTGTTCATGTCTAACTGTCCTTTTGACTTTTATATTGAAATCAGTATATAACTCGCAATATTTTAGATTGGGCTTGGCTTGAATGTTGGTATTACAAACATGTTGTATCGTTTAGTGGTATATAATTTCATCCATACATGAGGGGAATTCTCAATTATTCCGCTAAAATATAAGTTCAGTGAATTTTTTAACAATTTATTATTTAGTTGCTAGATTATCTATATTAATTTGTATGATTTTTTGTTATAGGTTCTATATATATTTTTGACAGTTAAGAGTAAAAAAAGATCGGAAAATGTTAACGTCGGATATACAAAGCTATAACGGCAATCTGAAAACTAATTAACAATTTGTTTAAAAATACAATATACTTATATCTAAGGCAAAACAACGTTTGCCGGGGAATTGTAAACATTACTTTATATATTTGTTTTGGCGGAATCTCACAAATAGTTTGCATATTTTCCTATTCTGACCACATACAATTTATAAGTCCTTTGAATCGTCAAAATCGGTGCAGACGTTTTTTAGTTATAAACGATGTAACTAACACAACATTCGATTATTCCTATTTCCCGACTTTTTTATGTTTTTTCAAAATTTTTTCGTAAAAACCTTCCCAATGCAATCACAAACAGCCGAAGGAAAACGTGAGTGAAATCGGTACAGTCAATACACAATGCAAACATTTTTTGCATCTATAAAAATACATTTGAGAAACCATAAAGGCAAATATAAGTTAAACACAAACAGCATGTAATGCGGAATTGCCTCCCCAATATAAGAAAATGTTCAATAATACCTTCGTGATTTGTTGTAATCGTATATCGCGAAATACTAACATCATTGAATATATTGATAGACGTTTTCCTTTTTACTAAAACATAAAAAAACATATGTCTATGTATTGTGCGTTTTTTCTCAAAAATAACCGTGCTGTTGTTTCCTATTAAGGACACGATCATGTTTCGGTCAGTGGCCCTCATGGGATATGTGTTGTATTTATAAGTGCAAAACAATTTGTTCCTTTATTGTGCATTTTTAAGCATCCTTGTCCGATTTTAAGTACTTGGAAAGTTGTAACAAAATATTAATTTAATTGCCTTTAATTCGGTATTCCGCATAGGGTATACAACTTCCCTCATAATTGCCGGTATAATTTTTGGTATAGGCTCCACATAGTGAAACCGCTTAATTTTTACTTTACCATGTCGTACTGTGTTTTATTTAAGAAAAATTTCACAACCTATACATACCATGCAAATTGCTTCACATAACATAACTTATATTTTCAAAATAATAAATATAGATTTTATGGAAAACGTGAGCAAATAATGATAGCGATAAATCTTATTCTCTCTCTTTTCGGTTTCTTACTAAATTTAACTCTAATGAAAATATAAATTCATTTTCATATACATACAATAGTTTTTTTTTCAAGGCAATGACAATCCCATTGATTGTAGAAAATTAAGATATTTTAGAATTTTCAATAAATGACAATTACTTAAAGATATTATACGCTGCCACGTTTTCACCCAAAATATGTCCAAGAAGAACTACGAAGAGGTCAAATCATAAATGATCGATATAAAATGTGTGGTAATGCTAATATCTTTCAAAATATATTTTGCAACATTTTTCGCGGATTTTTCTCAAAATGTTCTTTCATTAAAACATTTCCACTTCAATTGCAGACTACTAACAGAAACTTTAAGTCAAATCGGTCCAGCCGTTTCTTTAAAATAATTTTTGCACGATTTTCGCGGATTTTCCTAATTTTTTTTTATAAAAACCTTCCCACTGTAATTACCGACAACTGAAAGAAATTTTTAGTCAAATCGCCCCAGCCGATCTCAATTGATGAATTAGTATACATTTTTTGGCACCATTTTTATATATATAGATTTAAATATGTTTTTTTTAGTATTTTAGTGGACTGTAGTGGTTGGTATCGAATAGTAGGGTGACGTAAAGGCGAACGGAACGTCTTCGGGATCTCCCCCTAGAGCAGAACTGCGAACGATATGGTACTTGGTGATTCTGCAGAATACCATATTTTCTCGGAACTGCATAATCTTCCAATAGCAGCTGCAACCCGTCTACTGGGTTTGCGTCTGAGATGGACTATTATGTATGTCACAAATTCTTCAATTGCGGAGGCATCTCTCTGCCCCCGAAAACGCGAAGTACAATGTGAAACGAACTCGTTCGGTTGTTTTTCTGCATTGCCTGGCCCAGTTATTTGAATTGGCTGTCTGTAAACTGAGCCATCTCTGCTTCTTCGCGTGACACGTACTCGTCGCTATCTGCTTTGGTAATTTCTGTTATTTCAATCTTTGTATCGTTGTTCGTGGCCACTTCGTTGGGCGACAATAAAGCAGTCTCCAATATGGGTGTCAATGGAGCAGGCCCACGTTGTGCGCCAATAAACAACCTTCACTTTGGGTGTCAATGAAGCAGGCTTCACGTTGGGCGTCAATGAAGCAGCTCGTGAGCGGAGCTGGTATGGCTTCATCCGAAACAACAAGATTTAAAATAATGTTTTTACTCCATGTTTAGGAATTGTTTTCAGCTTATGATCGGAGTCCATCAATTTGGGCAAGCGTGGTTAATGATCTAAAGCTTTCAGTATTCGCTAAACGAATTCGAGACGGAGTCCGAACTCGGTGTAATTTTATTGAAAATAAATTAAGCTTAGGTACTACTTATAAGAAGCAAGATTCGTATCTAGTAAAAAAGGTATTAGATTCAGAGACATAATTTTTTGGTACTATTTACAGATTATTTAGATAAATGACCGTTAATTTCAAATATTTAAATGTTAAATGAGCTAAGTGTTTACACCATCGTAAATGAAATACATAATTTTAATAAAAATCGAGTTTATCCGTTTGAACATAAAATATAACGTTAGAGCGACCTTAAAATATCAGATATATATGTTTGGATCCAAACAACTGGATTTGGATTTTAATCAATTTCAACGTTTTACTAATTCGTAGAACAATAAATGGAAGGGTTTCGATAATATCAATTGCCTAAAGCATGTACGTGTGCCATTTAAAGTTGAAAAAAAAAACAGAAAATAGCAATTGTTTTGTTTTTGGTAATGTTATATTTCAATTATAATAAACATTGCTCAAATTCCATGCATGATATTTGAACATTATTTTATTTAACCTTAAAAATTTACATTTGATATTAAACATAATAAAAATATTCTTCATCTATTTATAGTTTGCATATGGTGATTTTTGAGTAAAGTGAACAACAAATTCCCAATGCTTGTCGCATAAGTATAAAATAAGATAGTTTTGAGGTAAAATATGCATAAAATAGAATGTGAGGAATTATTTGATGTTGTTGTTCCAGTTGTACTTAAACTGTTGTTATTTAAATCGCCATCCCAAATTGTTCTGTTGAAGTGTTGCATTGCGGCAGGTTTTTCATCTGTAACAAAAAATAAAAATCAATTAAGTTAAAATGCATTATGTAGCTTTGGATTTTTATACTTTATAATTCAAATAAATACCATTTAATAAATAGATTGACGGATATTGAGTATATACCTAATTTTACTTTTTTGACTCTCACCAAAAAACAAAAAATGTCAACCCATTTAAGCAAAACTTGACACATGTTGTACTATAGTAACTTCAATACGCAGTGCAAAATTTCGGTGCACCTATTACATAAAATCGGGCGAAACTATATATGGGAACTATATCCAAGTCTGAACAGATTTCAACAAATCTTGACACACGTTATGTTGTAGTAACTCCAGAACGTTCTGTGAAATTTTGTGCCAGTCGACCCGACTTTCGGTCTTTGGCGCACCATTTACTTAAAATCGGACGAAACTATATATGGGAGCTATATCTAAATTTGAACCGATTTCAAAAAAAATTGGCACACTTTATGTTATAGTAACTTCAGCACGTTATGTTATAGTAACTTCGCCTTTTACTTAAAATCGGACGAAATTATATATGGGACCTATATTTAAACCTGAACCGATTTTTCCCAATTTCAATAAGGTTCGTCTTTGGGCAAAATAAATAAACTTTACTTTGTTTACAATTTAACATGTACAGACGGACGAACATGCATAAATCGACTCAGAAAGTGATTCATATTCTCTAACTCGTTTCCTTTTGCGTGTTACAAACATATATACAAAGACATAATACCCTGTACCACAGTGTGGTGAAGGGTATAAAAAGTGTAGATATTCATCGGTCTTGTTCACGTAGCGAACATGGATTTCGTATAATAAAGATAATAAATGTCTTGCTGTTGGTCTCTTGTGTAAATAATATAATATGTAGTTAAACAGGGATCTATTTTTGTCTACAGTACACTTGAGATAAGAGAATTTTCTTGTTGAATATTTGTACAAAGGAATAAGATAGGAGTTTTCTATAGCCACATGTGGTGTGTTTGGGTGAGATTAAGGGGAGTAATCTGCACTACAGACTTATAAGCCTGTGTAGCGTGCTTGCCACATGTGAGATAAAGAAATGTGTATGTCCACCCCATGTGTTATGACAAATGGGTTCACGCACTATCTTTCTCGTTTCAACATTAGTTAATTTAAGTCATAGTGCAATACTTACTTCTTAAGGAGCAATTTTTATTTTAATAAATTAGTGTGTAAATGCACCAAGAAGAGGAAAGTGTTATCACTCCGCGGAGAATATCCGTTAAACATAAGGAAACTATCCCTGGTTAACATTGATCCTTCCAACCGTATCAGTGGCCCATAGTGGAGAAATAAATGCTGCAGAATTTATCTTAAAATTCGAGGAAATTCTGTCAGCTTGGTGGGAAATTAAATGCTGAGTCAAAAGGAAACTGCGGTAGCTTCGATTCTGCGGCTGCAGATAAAAGGGAGCCTATGGAGTCACTTACCCTAGAAGATGAGCCAACAACTGAACTTCAAGTACAGATAACGATTATTGACATGTACGCAGAGGCTATCGATAAGGCTGTGGATATACGGGAGATACAGTGCCTATATAGAAAATCTGAGAGACGCACCGATGAAGTGAAGACGATGTTGGAGTAGAAATTCAATATGGCAGGAGGGTGTAGGCCAGCCCAAAAACAAATTGGTTGTGTTCCATATGCAAATGCCTCGAATTAGAATATCAAGTTCACGAACTTAAAGGTAAATTGGTTGCGACTGCGGAGAAAGCCTAGGCAGCAGAAAAAATCATGGGAGGAAGACATAAGGAAACTTTTGAAATAACTGGGAAAAAAAAACCCGTCGATCAGCAGAGGCTGAACGTGACAAGTTGGTCAGGCTATTGGTCGCCAATGACAGTAAAGAGCGGTTCATTTTTTTTTTAATAAGTGTTGGTTTTAATAAGTGTTGTTTGATTTTCCTTTGACTGTCTTGCTGTCGTATGTTGTTGATTAGATTAATAGCAAGTTTTAAACCCATTGCGAAAAATCAATGAAAAAAGCTTCGAAAATGTATGTTTTTTGACAGATGTGCTATTTTGAGTATGATGTTGTTGTTTATTGGATTTTATTTCAAACTAAAATTTGTGTCGATATTTTGAGTAGTTCACGTGATAACCGTACATATTATTTTAAAATCCACCCAAATCGACAAAATTGAAGCCGCTAATAATATATATTAATGGCGCAAAATTGTGCCGGTTTGTGCTGTTGCGCCGAGGAGCCTATGTTTAATCGTTTTACATGAAATATCGCACAGCGTATTGGAGTGGAATTAGTTTCTCCGGTCGAGGTACAATTTTGAACAGCGCACAGATTTACACATAGCTTCCATATATAATTTTGCTCGATTTCATAAAAATAACCCAAGTCTGCCTGACTGAGATGCAATTTTTCATAGATTTCAGAATGATACGTGCATGGGTTGATTTAAATTGGTTCAAATATATATGCATATCACAGTTTTAATTTCCTCGGATTCTATTTCAACGATCCTCCAAAGATGATACGGCTGTTCTATCTAAAGGATATGTCGTTCGACGTTTTAATTTTCCTTGCTGGTTTTTCCTTGGCTGAAATATGCTTTATTTTGTTTGCCCAAAAAAATTCAAAATTTGTCCATTATCGATTTTGTGTTCACATTACAATCAAATATTTAACATTTTTGTTCGGTGTTAAACATCGAAATAGAAAAACATTCACCAACAAACAGTTTGATCAAACTGTCAGAAAACATAAATTTGTTTGCAAGAGAATTTGAGAGGCAAGAGAATTTGAGAGAGCAACTTCGATTATTTTTTTATTCCCATTGTGTATTTGAAAATTTGTATGTGAAGTGGCCCCTTTTGGCACTTAAGTTGATACTGATGCCGTAAATGAAGTTCTGTTTTGATATGATCAGAGGATATATTTACATTTTCCGATAATAGTTGTAATTCTCAAGCTGGAAAAATGGGCTGGGAACTTTAACGTACCGAAAATAAAGCGCAACCTTTTATGACAGCCAATTCATCAGGAATCCGGAATGAGAAATTTTAGCCATTTCGGTGGACAATTCGATAAATACAGAAAATGGGTCTGGGAACTTTATATGGCGACTATGTGATTGCCAAATCACCCCTACCTTCAAAATAGGGGCATATATTGAAATTGTTCTGCAAAAATGGTTTGCGACCATTCCAATCCAAAGCGTAATGCCAAAACGAAGGGTCATTAAATCCCATTTGCAATATAACCATTGTATGAAAAGTTTTTTCTTTAAAATATAAATTGTCACTGGGGCAACTTTATTAAACAATAATTATAATATGTAAATAATTATAATATGTAAAATAAAACTTGGTTTGCTTGCAAAAGAAACATTACTTTGTTTTTCTTTAATACTTTCCATAACCAAACAGGAAATAACTCAACATTTTATTGGTACCGAAACCCGGGAATTACATCGGTATTAGGTGATATATTAATTTAAAAAAATATAATGAAAAAATCCAATTATTCAAATTTAAAGTAAAACAAGTGAAAAAGCATTAAGTTCGGCCGGGACGAATTTTGGATACCCTCCACCATAGATATAAACGGATTATATAAACCATAATGTAAACCATAATACAAATTTCAGAAATTTTTAATTGATAATTCAAATTCGATGGGGAATATCGGTCCACTCCTTCTGAAACCTCCACACAGGGGCTAGCTCTAAATGCGGCTATAGTTCATTATCGAACCTTACGTTCTAATTTTTTATCTCGCTATCCACCGCAGGTGAATTCATTACAATAGGGTCTTAGAACCAAACTCAAAACGCGGAACAAATCAGATAACTATTTTAATATAAAAAGGGGGTTATATGGGGACTACCCCAAAAAGGGGGCGAATATTAATAAAATTTGTTACCATATACAACTACAAAATACCAAATTGCAGCAAATTCGGTTGAAAAACGCGCTCAAGAACCCCAAAATACCGAAAATTGGCGGTAGCCTTATATGGGGGCTATCCGAAAAAATGGAACTATATTCATATTTTTTTGTGGAGAGATTTGGTACCTATTAAGAACTCAAAATACTAAATTACAGCTAATTCGGTGGAAAAATACTGAAAATTGGGAGGTACCGTTATATGGGAGCTACCAGAAAAAGTGGACTTATATTTATAATTTTTGGTGGAGACATTTAGTACCCAATAAGAACCCTATGTAGCAAATTTCAGCTAATTGGCTGAAAAACGCGCTCAAGAACCCCAAAATACCGAAAATTGGGGGTACCCTTATGTGGGGGCTATCCGAAAAAATTGGCCTATATTTATAATTTTTTTGTGGATAAATTTGGTACCTATTAAGAACTCAAAGTACTAAATTAGAGCCAATTCGATGGAAAAATACGATAAAAACCCCCAAAATACTGAAAATTAGGAGGTACCGTTATATGGGGGCTACCAGAAAAAGTGGACCTATATTTATAATTTTTTGTGGAGACATTTAGTACCAAATAAGCACCCAATGTACCAAATTTCAGCGAATTCGGCTGAAATACGCGCTCAAGAACCCCAAAATACCGAAAATTGGGGGTACCCTTATGTGGGGGCTATCCGAAAAAATGGACCTATATTTATAATTTTTTGTGGTGAGATTTGGTACCTATTAAGAACTCAAAGTATTAAATTACAGCCAAATGGGTGGAAAAATACGATCAAAACCCCCAAAATACTGAAAATTAGGAGGTACCGTTATATGGGGGCTACCAGAAAAAGTGGACCTATATTTATAATTTTTTGTGGAAACATTTAGTACCCAATAAAAATCCAATGTACCAAATTTCAGCGTATTCGGTTGAAAAAACGCGCTCAAGAACTCCAAAATACCGATATTTGGCGGGTACCCTTATATGGGAGCTATGCCTAAACGTGGACCGATATATCCCATCTTCGAACTTGACCTGCCTGCAGACAAAAGACAACCCTATGCAAAATTTCAGCACCCTATC